CGAGTAAATCGCGTAAAAGAGGAGAAGAGGGAAAAAAAAAGAATATTTGCAGCGAAGACAGACAGGAAATCGCCCATCGTGATTATCATTTCTACGATTTATCCTTCACTCGCGGATAAAGCTCCGAAAAGCATTCATGCGCGCGTTTACACGCGTCCTCCTCAGTCGTCGTGAGGAAGAGACATGCTGAGGCGAAGCCGAGAACGGCCGGAGCCGTCTCGAGAGATTCAAAAGGTGCTCGACGGGGCCAGGCGTGGGCTACCCGTGATCATCATGACAAAAGCTCGGGGCAAACATCCGTTCAATTTATTAGCTTATAGGTAACGCCGTCTTCGTACTACCTACTATACACCACCTACGATACCAGCCATGGACCGCCTATAATACCTACAACATTATGAGCATGCTCCCAAGCTAGCACGAGGCCCCCCCCCTTTTCTCCTTTCTTGTGGCCCGCTGCACCCTCCCGAGGCGAACGATCCCATCCTCCCCATAGAGTCCCAGTTTTTACGGTCACGAAAGACCTGTGACTTTTCCGGGCCCCAGGGGTAGGAAGACTGTCGCAGCCTTCCTGTTTATTCAAGGATTAACCCCCTAATAATTTAATGACAAGTTTGCAATAAATAGCATAAAGAAAGAAAATAATTTTTTTTTTTTTAAGAAAATGATCTTTTGTTGATGCATTTATAATTTTAGAGTTGTGCGCGACTAAAAACGAGAAGAATTCTGGTGATTGTTATAATTATTAATTGTTTGCATTATTAAAAGTATATGTTATTACATGATTTGGAATTTATAATCGAAAATTTTAATAATTTTATACGAAAAGCACGATTTGGCTAAAATATTTAAAAATTTATTTACATACGGATCTGAAAATAATTTTGTTAATCATCGAAATAATTACACACAATACTGTAAAAAATTTTGATATTCTACCAATCAGTTTGAATATCCTACATAACTATTTTCAGATCTGTATCTAATTAAATTTTTAATAAAATAATATTTTTCTTGTATTAAAAAAAGAATTTAGTTATACCTATCAAATATCGAATAAAATAATTTCAATATTACATTGATATAACCAAAAATAATTTTACTTTTCTAAATGTTCAGTGATTATTACTGAATATTTGATTATATTATTATGATTGGTATGAATACTTACTAAATATTTAGAGAAGTATTTTTGATTATATTAACAATTATTTTTGATTATATTAACCAAATATTTGATTAAAATTGTTTCATTAAACATTCAGTAGCTGCTATTCTTTTTTCAATGTGTAGAATTGGAAATCAACTTAATAGTCTTTGAGATCTCAAAACGAGAGTTTAAGCGTAAAATCATAATCTCAGAAATATCTTATTATCTTGTTAAGATTATTTTTATCGAGCATTACAAGCATCATTGTTTTTAAGGGAACTCGATATGTCTCGGATTTAGCAATTCCTCGTTTCTCGTTGGTATCCATACCTTGCGGAATGCGTGAAAATACGTGTTTCCAATTAAGGAATAAAAGAGATATTTCAGGCTGAGGATTAACTTTTATCGAACGTTTACAACAGGACGCCAGAAGAGATAGCGGAATATTAAGTTTCGCGCGGTTTATTGCCAATCTCGCGGTAAAGGCAGAAATCGCGCCGTAAATTCGCGCATTTATTCTACGCGGTTTCGAATTCCCACGTTAATAAGGAGGAAAACGCATCGAGACGAAGTATCAATGTACGTATCATTCATTCGCGAATTGAACCACACAATACCGCTAGCTTTGAAATTTGTCAAAGTGTTTATTTCACACATTCGATCGTGTTTCTAATACAATGCGAGTATTGATGGCTTCTACATGGAAAATGTAGAAACGTAACAAAAGGAAAATCCTTTGAAGCAGGTGTTTCGTATTTCAGGCGCGCAACTGAAACGATCAACCATCGCTACTTTGTATAGTGGAAATTGATAAGCACAGATCTTCAAAAAATGTCGAGGTTACAATTCTTCAGTTATAAATGATTAAAGTTAATTAAAATTCAGACAATCAAGTTTGTTTTTTCCATCGTAAAAGAATTTATAGACTTATATTTTAATAATTCTTTTTATATAAATACTTTTAACTACTTTTAAGGTACCAAGCAGTCTATTTGTTGATTGCATTTTAAGTTGTTACATAAATTATATATTGACTCAATTCTATTTACATAATTATTTTTAAGTATAAAGGAAATTTTTTTTCGTACATTTATCAACTGCATTTTAGTTTATTCCACAAGTTATGTGGTTTTATTTTTTTATATAAATACTTTTAAGGTGTAATAGAACTTGCATTGTGTGCAAAATATTTTCAATTTATATGATTAAAACTACTTGTCTTCTAAGACTAGTCAATTAACAACATTTCCTGTTGTAATTCCCGACTCCTGTTACCGAGCACTATTATTCCGCCTCTTTCCCATGAACTTCCAACTTTTCATTATCGCACGGCAACTTCGCGCCTGCGACGCCACTTTATCAGAAAAGGAGACGGCGTTTTATTGCCGTACAGACTCGCGCGGCCTGAAATTTTCTTCTCAATATCAGCTTTATCGGCTCAGCGACTTTGCACGTAAATGCTCAAAATTATAGTCGATCAACCGATTTCGCTTCGAAATTGTCATTAATCCTCATCGTGAAAACGCTCGCCTGTCTTTTTCTTCGTGGTTTACGTGTTGCTACAAAATTTATCAAATTCTCCTCTCGAGTCACTTTCCGATTATCATATGCATAATTTTAAATAAACTTTTTCCGATCACACCTTTGTTCTGGATGAAATACGTTTCCACGGATGGCGAGAAATTGGCTCGTCATCGATCGGCCAACGACGACGGCGACAATGGCGAGGATGGAATATTATTCGTGGGCAACATCGACGCCCACGATTAACGACCTGCGCCGATAACCCATGGGCCCACGCTTCTACCCTGAGGGTGTTGTCCCGACTCATTCATTTTACGAGGCCATTTTCGGCGCGCGCGGCCACTCGAGGACTCGTCAATGATCACGCGAGCGCGAGAACAGGCTGAGGGAATTGATATGAGGGCGTGAAAAACGGCACTACGAGCATCGCCAATGTTGCTATGTTAAATAAATCCGCAGGTTGCTTTTGCAGTCGTCGAAGGCGACGGTTCTTCACGATGTTACCGCCCGCGAGAACGCTTAAATAGATTTTTATTTTAACAATAGTCTAATTTAATACACGCGAGTGAAAAAAGGCATATTCGAGGCGGTTCTTTGTGCCTAATATTTCTTACGAATTTATATAATTTTCAGTTCGAACTGGAAATATAATATATAATTAATTTCATTGGTCTATTTTCACTTAATGTAGTCTAATTTAAAACTTGATTTAACCCTCCAAAATTGACACCAAAACTCTGCGACACAGTTACTGATGTTGGGTCTTTAAGACCCGTTTATGTTAATCAAGAGGTATTAATTTATGTTAGTCAACAGATACTAATTTAGTTTCAAGGAAATAAAATGACACAACTCATATAAAAAAGAATGAATATTAAGTGTTTTAATAAGAATAATCCAAATTTGCAGATGTAACATCAAAAAAATTAAATTGTTTATTTTTTACAGAGATTTATAATTGATTGGATCCACCCTTGCAGAAATCTACTGGTCAATTTATTACTGAAAAATAATAGGTGGTAAGGTGGTACAATTTCGAACATTGTATAATTTTGAGAACGATATATTTAGATTTAAATCCACTTTTCAAGATTCAAGGCTTCCTTCTAACTGTTTAATACCCTTTAGTATCCTCCGCACAATGAGATTAAGATTATCCAAACTTAAACCTTGAAATTGAATCGAAATTTTATTTGGTTCAGAATTGTATCATATTCGAAACATGCTATCCTAATTGATTATTTATTTGTACTAAAAGTATTAAACAATAGTACCTTTACTACCTAAAATATAAATAATTAATTATTGTATTTCGATGTTAAATTGACCAGTATTAGATTTCTAGATAAAGGCATTAGACCGTCAATTCCGGAATTTAAAATTGAACCTTAAAAAAAAGAATAATCTCAAAATTTTCTCTGAGAATGAAGTCCTTCTAAGTTAAGTCTTTTACATTTTTTTAAGCCAAGGCATTTCTTTAAAATCTGAATATAATCATCGTCGGTGTTATATTCGTGGATTATATATCTCCGGGGCGTAATCGAACGCGACGGGAAGAGGGTTCCCCGCGCCACGTAATAGCGGTAGCATGTCCAACGGTTCCGACATTTCGCGTCCGGCGGCCATTGTGCGCTAAACTCCGAAATAAAGGGGAGATACGCCGCGGCCCAGAAATTACGCATCCGCTGAAAGGCAGGCGCAAATTACAGAACAGCATAATGGCCGGGGTGCATGAAGCGTCTTATCGCCGACAATTTCTGCGCGCGGGCCGCCGGAGGAGGAAAATCTCGCGCGCGAAATTATTCTACGTAGATTATATGGAGATCTTACACGCTTCGTTGGCGACGCATAAATGTTTAACCGTTTTGACGCTGAACTGACTATGGAAATGCATTGAGTGCGTGATAGATCTTTAAAAAAATCATCATTATGTGAATTGCATAAATTTATTACTACAAGCAGCCGTAAAATGAGTATAATAATTACTTGTACTATAAATACGAATAATTAGAAATTATAGAAAAAAATATTTAATATTTTATGTGACTATAATTACATGGTAAAATAATCAGAAACTTCAGTTATCACTCTGTAATGTTAGTAATAATAAAATATACAGTTAGCACCGAAAAATAATAGTCACTTTAGCATAAAAAAAAAAATCTGCATCAATATGCTGAAATAAATATAAAAATTTCAGTACTTTTTTTTAATTTTAATTCAATTTTAGAATTTTAAAGATATGTTTCCTAAAAAGAAACTATCGTTAAAACTGAACTCGATGACATCCGAATTGATTATGGATAGACTTAAGTGGTCCTCTTACCTGACCGTGCTTATCCATGTCGTTATTTGTCAGCTTGACTTTCTCGAAGGAGACGACCTGTTTCCGCAGTTGCTCACCGGTGAAGGGTGAGTCGGGATGAACGTAAAGTCGCACGGGCGCCGGCGGATCCGCTTTACCAGCCTCGAGCCAACAACTCCGATGATAGGCGTATCGATACCTCTTGTTGTCGACCGGCACGATGTCCATTAATACTGCATAACGGCCCTCGGACTTGAGCCCGGTAAAAGATACCCGACACGTCGGAAACATCCGTCTGCGAAAGAATGCAGAAACAATGTAATAACAAGCGAATAACAATCACGATAAATTATTCGAGCTAAATATGAACAAAAATGTGGGAACTTATTTATATGAATAAATTATATGTATCTCATAAAATATATTTACTCGCATAAAAAACGAGTCAGTGCAACGTTACAGTGACTCATTTTCTTGCGGATATCTGTACTTAGAATCTTATTTTTTTTAATTATATTTAATTAATTACTTGCGCAAAACGATGTTAAATCGTTTTGAAACAAGATAAAAAAAACTTAATTTAAGTAATTAAAGATACATAGATACAAAGATATAATTACGTACATTTGTGAAATGTGATAAATTCTAAACTTTAAAACGACAAACAAAAACGAGTCTCGATCTTTATCGTTTGATATCTGGTGTACGTAACCTAGTAATCACAAAATGACGTAGCAAAATCAAGGTAAAACCTTTGCACTTCGTGACCGCTTTCACGATCGTTGTAGTCTCGCAACGGTAGAAGTTATTAATTATAGAACACTGCTTGCAACAAGTTTTCTTCAGCAACATAAACGTTTCACCGCGCGTGCAGTATAACTTTCTCAACAGTTAAAACGCTTTTCTAAGTTTTATAATCTTGCTCCCTTTTCTAAGCGATCCAATCCTAAGAGATCATTCGTCACAAAACTAAGAAAAAATCAAATCTATTTTTATTCGTCATTATTATCAGTTTCTTTATATTTTTCTTAATATGTTTCACTCAGTCCTGTCGAATTTAACTGTAGGTAATTCGATCAAAGGAAACATTCGTCTCGGCACCTCAAGTTTCGTCACAAAAGCCGAGCTCCAGCCTTGAATCGGTCGCGTCTGCAATCGACCTTTCAACACTTCAAGAGACTTCGAGCGCACGCGCCTTCGTTGACGATGGAAAGACGCGCTGAAAATTTCCCGCTGGCATAACAAGGAAAATTGTAGCCTGACCTTCATCCTCCTGTTCCCAACCGAAACCTTTCATCCTGCCCCACAATGTACGTCCTCGCTGCGACCGCACGCAATGGATCGCGTCCTGTGATTTACGCGTCTCGTGGGAGAAAGCCAGACATTTTTCCGCGATCAGATGATGAGATACATTAATAGCGATTTTTTCACAGTGAAAAACTGGCTTCCAGTTAGTTTATCGCTGAAAATGTCGAGCTTGAGTCGGATGTGATAGGGAGATAGAAAAATTCGTTTATTCCGAAACGCAATCACGCCATTTCGCTTTATATAATTTATTACATAATTGCAAACTAAGACGTAATATGATGTATACTTGATGCATGTAAGATTCCTCGTTATTTTATTTAAGAGACTAATGCATGCAAGAAAGATTTTGCTAAAATATTTAGAAATTTAGTTAGATATAGATTTGAAAATAATTTTGTTAAACTATTGTGAGACTATTAAAATAATTATGTAAATTCTCAAGTGATAAGCAATGCAAAAAGTGATATTAGCAATCAGTTTGAGCGTCTTACATAATTATTTTGATGATCCAACAAAATTATTTTTTAAATTATTATTACTATTACTTTAAAATAATACAAAGATATGAAAGGCACTCTTATGTACTTTTCATATCTTTGTATCGTTTTAAAAACTAAAAATCTTGTATTTCTTATTATTTGATTTTTATTATTATTTTATTGTGTATTAAAAAATTACAGAGCATTCTCAATAAAATCTATATCTGATTAAATTTTTTAGATGCACTGAAAAAAATATTAAATTTTAATAAATATTCATTTGGATAGTTTTAAGTAAACATTTACTAAATGTAAACATATATTTATTTGATACAAAAAATTAATTTGATTTAACTATTGCTTTTTTTATTGAGTAAATATTTATTTACTATAAGTAAATGTTTACTTATTATTATTCAAAGAAATATGTATTAGTAAATTTTATTCAGTGTACTTCAGTAAAATCGTCTTTTCCGTATTACGTGCACGTAATTCTTGATAACTGTATCACGCGTATGCGCTATTACAATTCTGATCTAATTATTGTTGCGCTACTACTAGAGAGGCGCAAGCTTGATCGAACCATCAGAGAAGATTGAAGATGATAAATCCGCCTCGAAATGGCTGTCAAGGTCGGCCAATGGTATGTCCAGGACAATGCAATCCACTAAAGGCTCATCATCACCATCATCACCATCATCACCGTCGTCATCATCGTCAGAAACCCGATATGACGGAAATTGTCACGCCAGAGAAAGAAGTACTCTTGCCGGATGAGTTTTCTCAGCTAACGCTGCTAAGATCTTCAAAGAGAGACGCTTCTGTCACATCTATGACTTCGAAGGATGCTATATCGATCTCCACAACCTCATCTTCCACCAAAATTGCTGTGATCAGAATTCCGAAAATTTCTCAGTTCAAAAAAGCTGATGTTCCTGCGATTATACAACAAATTCTGTCGCCGAGCAGACTGGAAAGGCTCGAAGAACCGCCGAAATTGACAACCGAGAAGAAGAGCGAGTTGGCGCCTTTGAGAAAAATTGGATCCAATCGCCAATCGCCAATCGCAACGATAACCTACCCGAAGGAAACAGCTGCGAGGGCAACACTACATCAGACACCGAGAAATTGTCTGAACAAAGTAATATGCGCGATTATGTTGAGACTGAACAGAATGACGCTGAAGATAACGTCGCCTCTTTTACTGGGTCTGATAATCCTGACAATCTACGTGGGAATTCATATATTATTGGCTATAATCGCACGAACATCTGCGTACCAGTTCTTCATGTCCAGTCAGATCTGTGGGATCTTCGCGTTTCTTATGTGGCGACTGACCGGCACGATACTAATCTGAACCACGCGAATAGATAATGCATCGAGATAATACGCTGCCAGACAAACACCGAAATTGATCGACGTATCTTATACTAATTTATCATAATTACATATACATACATACGTAAAACAGTTATGTAAGCTCTTCCGTTAAAGCATGGCTTAATTAATTGATGTTCGGTGATAAATTGATGAGTCTTATAAGTCTAGGAAACGTCACATGTGAACATTAGAATTCTAAAGAGTAAGATTATATTTG